GCTCTTTTAGTCTATGTGGACGACATCAAAGTGACTGGAAATGATGAGAAAGAGAAGCATGAATTGAAGCTGAGACTAGTAAAAGAATTTGAAATCAAGGAACTGGGGAAATTGAAGTACTTCCTCGATCTTGAGGTGACATTCCACACAGGGGATCTTCATATAAAACAGGGAAGACTGGGTGTAAGCCAATCGCTACTCCAATAGATCCAAACTATAAGTTGGGAGAAGCTAAAGAAAAACCAGTTGTGGATAAAAGAATGTACCAGAGATTGGTTGGCAAACTCATATAACTTGCTCACACTTGACTAAAAATAGTATATTTTGTAAGTATGATCAGTCAATTCATGCATGATCCTAGAGAACCTCATATTCAGGCCGCCTACAGGGTATAGCATTACTTGAAAGGCAATCCGGGAAAAGGAATCTTGTTCAAAAGGAATGACACTCTTACTCTGGAAGCCTACACCGACGCTGACTATGCTGGCTCCATAGTGGATAGAAGATCAACTACAGGATATTGTATTTTTCTTGAAGGTAACCTAGTGACATGGAGGAGCAAGAAGCAAAACGTAGTGGCAAGGTCATCTGCAGAATCAGAGTTCAAGGCTATTGCTCAAGGATTATGTGAATTACTGTGGCTGAGAATCATCTTGGATGATTTAAGAATCCCATGGGAGGGTCCTATGAAGCTCTACTGTGACAACAATTCTGTCATTAATATAGCTCATAATCCTATACAACATGATAGGACAAAACATATTGAGATTGATAGACATTTCATCAAAGAAAAACTGGAGGAAGGGTTAGTGTGTATGTCCTATGTTCCATCAGAAAGACAATTAGCCGATGTTCTAACTAAGGGGCTGAACAGTTCAAGTTTCCATGATCTTGTATCCAAGCTGGGAATGGAAGACAACTATTCCTCGAGGGAGTGTCGAGATGTGAATGAGATGGAAACAAAGTTGTGAGAATTAATTCTAATTTCCTTAATTAAGAAAATTAGAATTAATTGGTAAATCCCTTAAATTAAGAAAATTAGAATAAATTTGTAATCCCTTAAATTAAGGGAAATAGTTAAATAGTTTCCTAGTTATTCTCCTTTTAATCTCCTATATAATACCTTATATGATCAATTCAAGAGAAGAAGAGAATAACAAATTATTTCTTTGATTTCCCACAATAACAAATCTTGGAATTAGGCAGGTTGAATCTCTTAAGATGATAGCTACCCAAAATATAAACTATCAATCAGAGCATCTGACAAATCTCCCACTAGATGATATCGTTCTAAGGATAATATAAGGTGTTTGGGAAGAGGATGTAGTGGGGGTGGTTATGCAATAGCAAGAAAGTGATAATATGGGAGGTTGGCGGCCTTTGGAAAGGTAGTTGAGGTGAAATCTGTTGTTGGACAGCACGTTGGATGTGTTCCACAGCTGTCCGAACAGAAAACAGCAGGCAAACTGCAAACTGCAAACGGCAAACGGCGAGGTGCAGACTGCAAGAGGGATCCATTACATGTTCCAGAACAAGATATAGATACACCACTTGCAAAAAGAAAGAATACAGCACCCTAAAGAGCATAAAATAGAGAACCACATCTCCAAATACAATAACAATAGCAAAAAAATCTGCCCAGCAACAAAACAAAACACACATAAATAGGTCCCTAATAGAAATAAATCTAAATAAAAATAAGTAAATAGTAAATAATTAAAAAATAAGTCAAGGATTGTTGTAGAAATCTCAAACCGCGGAACATCCATTTCCACGATATCGCGGAACTCCTGCAATTGTAATGGTGGGAGCAGCGATCCCAGACACTCCCACGTCAAGAGCTAAAGGCTGAAAGCATACCAACTCTAAAAGGGATGTTTTAAGAAGCCTGAAAGACTGCCAAGGAGTATGTGAAGCTAAATGAGGCCTAGTCAGACAAGAAATCAGAAGTGAAGGTTGATGATCATGGTGCACTAATTTATGAGATCAATTGAGTTCTCAACTGTTTTGGATTGAAAAGGGAGATTCTGTAAGAAGTTATGCAGGATATATTGTACAACCTGAGAGCAATAAGGAGTACCATAATCTGAAGGTTCTGCTTACTTCTCGAGAGTGAAAAAGGATGTAATGGAATTTATATCAAAATTTAAAATATTTCAACTGGTGCAAAGAAAACATCAAAAGACCAAATGGTCTGCTGTAGTTGTTGTACATTCAAGAGGGGAAGTGAGAAAAAAACATCATGAAATTTGCTATGGTGATTCCTAAAATAAGGTTAGGACACCATGTTGTGTGGATTGTAATTGATTGACTAAAATGGTCAAGCTCATTTCTTGTCTGAGTTATACATAAAGCAGATTATGGGGCTTGACGGTGTATCAAAAGGTGATAATATCGAATTGTGATGGTATATTCACCTCTAGACTGTGAAGATATATACATTAAATATAAAGTATTAGATTCAACTTTAAGACAATATTTCACCTGTAGAAGGATGGAAAATTTGAGACGTTTATCTAGATACTTGAGGATCTGGTACAATTATGTGTTTAAATTTGTAATTAGACAAATCATGTAGAATTGATAGACTTTGTCTTGGAATAATATTTTTCCATTTTAACAATGAAATGCATTCGTATGACATATTGTACAAAAAAATACAGAATTTTAATATGGATTGAAGTAGGGAAAAAGAGTTTGCTTGGTCCAGAAATGATTGATGATAAATTAAGAAAATAAAGCTGATCAAAGACAAATAAAAGCAACAAAAGATTAAAAAAAAGTATGACCTAAAACACAATGCCATAGAATTTGAGGAAAAAGGCTTTGTGTTTGTTAAAGTCAGCCCATAGAATAGTGTGGATACGTTTGGTAGAAAAGAAAAGTTGAGCTTAAGGTATGATGGAGCATTCAAGGAGATTGATAGTTGCATTACACACTCTCTCTCTCTCATTTATAGGTCCAAACATAAAGCATAAAGATACTACTTGCATTACTATATTTTTATTTTAGTTTTGGAAAAATACATTCTCTCTTCTAGCCAGCTCTGCCTCCTTTGCTTGGAGCTCCTTCTCCTTCTTCTTCAAATCCTGCACAAAGCAAAAGTACAAGTGAGTCAAAGAACCAATAGCTTGATAATGATGCACTGAATTAATCATCTGGAAAAAAAAATATGGTAAATAGCTTTGAAGCTGACAGAATTCAGGTTAAACTATGTTATTTATACAGGAAAACGGTGTTAACCAACAAATATCTTCCCAATCAAAAATAAGTATCTAAAATGAGTCAAAAATGGTGTTTCTAAAAAACATTTATAGGAAAGCTTTATAACCAAACAATTTAAGGAAAATTAATTTCTGATACGGCAAAAGACGTGATAAAATTAATTCAAATGAGCCTATATATAGAGGAAGTGATTTACCAAAATGAAAGTGGAAGAGATTAAAATACAATGGAGCTTCAAATAAATATCAGCATGTTCAATAGAGCAATTTATGCCTTATTCGATGTGCATTGAATCATAAGTCCATATCTCATCAAGTATTATGGCTTTCGAAGTGTTCCACATGAAGTACGTCAACGATTTAAAATTCACTAATAGAAACAAAGAAAGAAAACTCTAGATCAAAATTCAGCTTTCCAACTCCTAATTTAGGCAAAGGTTATCTCTTTTGATGTAATGCCAAAAACAATACACTTAATTGATTGCAAACATGTAATGAACTTCACCAAATAACAATTACCAAAAAAAAAAAAAAACAAACCAAACAAACCAAAAAAACTTAAATTGTGAGAATGAATATAGAAGTAACTAATCTAAAGATCAAAACCTCATAATGATACAAGAAAAAACATCAAACAAGAAGAATGAGTGAGATCAAAATTCACGAACACATTACCGATGAGACTTGCACTGCACTCAAAGAACTAGAGCATCCAAGTAGCAAAAATAAACTTGAGAAAGATATTGATATTTTTATTTGGTAATTCACTATAAATACATATCTTAGGGTTCATATTTATTGCTCAAAAATATCCAAAATTAGTAACCTCATAACCCTTCAAAATTTAGCCCAATTGTAACTTTCAAATTAGCCATCGCAGATTTTCCAGAAAACAGCAAGTATTCAGTAGATGATTTAATACAACTAGTTTTGTAGAAAAAGGAAAAAAACTGACCAACAAAACTATGGTAGGAAAGTCGTAAAGCCAGCCAAAGAGGTAGCCAACTATAGCCCAACACAAAAAGTTGTCGCTGAGAGATGAATTGTTGACTTACACATATGTGCCACAAGGTAGCACAAATTAGACAACAATCGAAGTCAAAATAAATAATGAGTATTAAATACTACATTAGGCGAAGTCAGGTCCAAATGTCTTAAAATCATAATTAAAGTTACTCAACATCAAAATTAAGATTAAGATAAATCGCAAAAATTAAAATTGTCCAATATCGTTAGTTAAGCAAAATGGACTATGTTGGCTAGTTTGAAACATACAAATTCCCTATGAAAGACGTTTGGATGGCCTAAAATGTTGCACGAGAAAATGGAAAATATTTACTTTAAAAAAAATCTCCATCACTTGTTTTGCAAAATGAACATTAGTGACTTAGCAGAAGCACCGAAAATACTCATAAGAAAACCTCATCCCCAAATATCCATATGACAAAAATGAGGGATAATGGATCTGACATTGCGAGAACATGTGCAACAGTTGATCATTTTAGGAAATGGATTGTTCGCATATCCAGGAGATTAAGATTACCTATTGAAGATGGTCATATTGCTCTGTTCGCTGCATGAAGGAAAAATGCAAAAAATAGCTTGCCCGTATGATGACAACATAAATTATTTTGTTAATATATGATAAATATAAATATATTTTACATATAAATAATAAAATTTTATTTAATTAAATTTACTGCTAAAAATAAAATAAGAAGGAATCAAGTCAAGTAAATACTACTCTTGCATTCATCCTATCCTCGCCACAGCACATCGTATGAGTCTCTTCCCCATCCTATTATTAACCAACCAATAGTAATGATTAAAAAAGAATCAATCTAGAATTTTTACTGCACATCACCCACTATTCCCTCACACTCACACATCCCTCTACCTTCTAGACATACATCCAATGCCCTTCCTGACAACCTGTTACTTGTAGATTCCTTGGGTTATCTTTCCTCTTCAATGCCTACCTAAGAGACCCCTCTTCTCCCTCCTATTCCTTTCCAAGCACTGCTCGACAAACTGTCAATTCCCCTTCAATAGTCACCGACCCACTTCTCTCTTTCCCGTTACTCTAAACTTCTCTCCTGCAAACACAACTAGGCAACACTACTCACTAACGATCCTTCCTTCAATCTCTCTCCACTATATCATTATCTCCATCCAAGACCTGCTCTCACAATTCCATCTCCCCTCTTCCAATTATCAAATCTTCACCTTCTTAATAGAGGTCGACATCTCTCAGCCACCCCACCAGTTCTCTCTCACCCGCATTCATTAATGTCCTCCAACCCTACCACCAACACGCCTACGACATATTTTTCTTCCCTGATTAAATCTCTTTTTTGCTCTACCTCTCTTCATCTGTCTTTTTCTCTCTCAAACCATCTGTTTCAGACTTAGTCTCTCCACAACTCTATATCACTCTCCATCTCCCACCTTCTCTCTGTAAAGAATACAAAAGAATAATAATATATATTAAAAAAAGAGAGCATTGTGTGCATTCAATAAGTCAAACTCGTTGATGTCATCCCACACAAGATATAAATGTTTGGAAATCAAATCATAACAACTAAATACAAGTATGCCCATCTCTTGATGCGGCAAGGAAATTCTATATATCATGCATTTTGTTCGCAAGTGAAAACCCTATGCACACCTCTCTAGGTATGGTGAGGAAGAAGACTCTGGACTGCTAAAATTAAGTGCTTGTATGCAACTTTCATGACAAGGCGGGAAGATTTATTTTAAAAATCTTTTATACAAATTTCAATACTCATATGCACCTATTTAGGAGCTGTGGCATAAAAGATCCAATCAAGATGTTTACATCACCCACACAAGCATTTCTTTGATGGTGGCCAAAGACTCCCCATAGATGTGGCCTATGCAAAAGAGATGCATAGGGCGCATTCACACGGACTCTAGAATGCCAAAATTAAGCACTTGTCTACAGCTTTCTTGTTAAGGCAAATATATATATATATATATATATATATATATATATATATAT